GTGCTGTGGCTTTCCGCCTCAGTGTCCCAGGGTCCTGCCCAGCCACGATGGCCTCCAGTGTCTACTCACCAGCCACATGCATGGAACATCCTGGGCTCCACAGTTACCCTGTGGCCTGCTGTTCCTCACCCTCTTGACTATGGGAGGAAAGAACTCTGGGGCGTGGTTCCATCAGTGGTGTTTCAAGAGTGACTATAGGGTGGCCCACCCACAGCCTTGAATATTTTTAGTACCCAAGTCCCTATGAATCTTTTCCTTAAAACGCCATGGTTTCTGCTTCCTGTACTTCCCCAGCAGGTGTCTGGAGGACCAGGTGCTGCACAGGGAGATGATCTGTAACCAGGAGGCCCCAAGCAGGGGCAGACACACAGGGAGGAAGTAACGATCCTCTAGAAGCTCGTGAGGGGCTCCACGACTTGCTGAGTGTGTGTCAGCGCCATCTGGACACAGCTGAGAGGGCTCCATAAGGACTACTCTTCCTGTCTTTCAGAGGAGGCAGCTGTTGGCAGCAAGGGGCAAAACTGGATCTTGAGGTCTTCAGTCAGCACCTGTCAACTATCCTTAAAGTGGGAAGCAGAAATCACTCATCGCCTCTCTCTTTGGCAGAAACCATTCAGTCCCCAAGAGCCAAATGGGACCTCAGAGTGAGCTGGAATGACACAGCAGCGTGCTTCAAGGTGTGTGTGTGTGTGTGTGTGTGTGTGTGTGTGTGTGTGTGCGTGTGTGTACACGCGCATGCGCGCATGTGCAGGGAGGGGCAGGTGCCATATTCTGCTGGGGGCTAGCCTCTCAGAGCCCTCCAGAAGGACAAGAGTGGTAGTCCTCCCCAGCCAACTGACCTCTTCCCTGCACCCTGTGACCCATCCAAGCTCTGAGCAGCAACCTCTGCCTCTCGTGTCCTGGCACCAGGGCAAAATGTGAGAAGTGGCCCAGCAGGCTGAGAGCAGGCAGGAGGGAAAGGCTGAGCAGGCAACCAGGACTAGGGTGAGGCGCAGGAGAATGGACAGAGTGAGAGGGGCCCGGAAACCCCGACCCCAGATTGAAGTCCAGGGGCAGAACCGTGTTCCTACTCCACAGACAAGGCTGTGGGTGCTGGAGCCCACAGAGCACCACTTACTAACTCTCCGACCAGGCTGGCGGCCTCACCACAGGTGGGGCAGGGGGCCAGAGACCAAGCAGCCTCTCCGCCTGGACCTGTTTTGGGGGCTGGGCTGCCAGCATTATGTGGCAGGCAGCAAGCTCCAGAAAGAAATTTTTTTTTGCCTGTCACCCTTTGGGAAGTCCCAGCTACCAAGCTCCAGGGTGATCCCCAAAGGCATGCGGGCCAGGGCTGTGGGACTGTGCCCATGCAACCTGCCCCTGGGGAGGTGGGGGGCAGACAGTGTTGGAGCCTAGCAGGCACGTGGCTCCCTTCATCTGTGTCTCTACAACCACAGAAATTCTAATTCAGACGGTGTGAGAAAGGGCCCAAGAGTCTCCAAAAGGCTCTCCCGTGGCAGTGTGATGTCCGCCTGGAACATCGTACTCTGAGAAATCCTGTGCTTTGAAGGACGAACAAAGTGCGCTTCCCTGAGATGACACCTGCTGCTCTAAGAGCCCTGGACCTGTTCTCCGCAGGCGCTGTGGCCCACACAGGCCCCCTGGGGAACTTGTTCAGGAGCAGATTCTGACTTGGGAGGCAGAGTTGGAGGTTCTAAATTTCTACCAAGCTCCCAAGGGATGCTCACACTACAGGTCTACAGATGATACTCTGAGAAACAGGAGCCTAACCGGGCATTCGCAGACTTCAGCATGCATCCACGTTACCCGGAGGGGAAGCAGCTCGGAAAAATGGACTGCTGCCCTTTCTGACTTTCAGGTTGAGCAGGGCTGGGGAAGTGCCTGACAAGGTGCTCTCCTGACTGGTTCTCATCTGCTGCTCCAGCTTGTAGGCCTGAGACCCCATCTGGAGAAATCCTGGCTGGGTCCGTATGAGGGCAGAATGAAGTAATGCAGCCCAAAGCACTCCTATGTCAGACATTTTTACTTTAAGTACTGTTGCTCTGCTTATTAAATTCTTACCAAAGACTTATTTTCCTGTGGTCTTTTGCCTGCCCTCCCCCACAACAGTAGGGTGCGTAGAAAATAAAATAGGGAATTGAAGATATGGAAAGTAAAATTCTAGCTTAACTGGAAGAACCTCCTGCCTAGCAGCATGCCCTCTCCCAGATTCATGATTTCCCTTCACTCCCACATGCTCCAGCTCTGAATTGCTGGGCAGCATCAGGTACCTATGAGCAAGCAGGGAGAACTTAACGAGGTCCTGCACCCACCTGCAGTCATGAATGGGCTGGAGGGACACAGAGCTGGCCGCTTCTTCTTCATTAGCCAGGCGACCCACCATGGTCACATAATCGCCTTGGACCCCATTGAAAGCCTCTCCTCAGGGCTCTTGCTGGGTCCTCCTGGGAGCGCCATCCCCAGGACACAGGGACTGCCGCCTCTGGTCCGAGTGCTCTCTCTGGCAGCCTATGGCCCACCTTCCCCTTGCAGCTCAGACCGTGTTCTACCCAGTGCCTAATATTTCCTCATGCTGACACCTGCAAGCAACTTGCAGTCGGGGCCCTCCACTCATTTGTTTTTGTAGTGTCTGCTTCTCTAGAGACCCTGTTTTTCCAAGCAGCCTTGTTCATAAATACTTAAAAGCTTCCATAATCAGTCAGCCTTCTGTATTTTGGGTTGCATATCCACAGAGTCAATGAACCATGGATTTAAAATATTCAGGGGGAAAAAAAAACATTTGTACCAAGCGGAGATTTTTCTCCTTGTTATCATTCCTTACACAAAGTGTACAACTGTGTACACAGCATCTGTGCTGTGTGAGACATCATAAACAATCCAAAGATGACTTGAAGGGTACCCAGGATGGGTGGCTTATAAGGAAATACCTCCCTTTTACATAAGGGGCTTGAGCAGCTGCAGATCTGGGCAAGCTCAAGGGTCCTGGTACCACCCTCTGTGACTATGGAGGGACAACCTACTATCTCTGGTTTGGAAAACAGGCCAGCCCATATCCCTGAACTTGCAGATGACTGCTGTCTCAAGTCTAAGCTACAAACCCTTCTTCAGGTTCTTCAGCAGAATGCAAGCTGTGCTGGGTGGGTGGGGTGGAGACACAGGGTCTGGTGTGACTGGGAGCAAGAGCTGGGGTGGACAGGAGGCAAGAACGGCTGAGGCAGATCCCCACGTCCCTGCAGAGATGTGCCAGGAGGACCCCTGTGGAGTTTCTCATCATGACCCACAGAAAAACAACTGTATTTTTCATCTATAATATATACCTGTGCATGCACACAGTAAAATTGAAACGAAAACCCACAAAACAGTAATTACCATTCTACATGTGAGGCACCTTGACAGTTTCTATTCTATTTTATCTCATTAAAAATTGCTGGTCTCAACCCTCTAATTTGACATTACAATTCACTGGTGGATCATAACCTGCAACTTGAATTAATCCACCTTATTGTGTCTTGGTTATTTTAGTGGTGCTTTGAGGCTTTTTTCGATCTACACAGAGCACTCAAGCAACGGAGCAGCTACTGTATGCCAGACACTATGCTCGCTGCCTGCAGGCATGGGGTAAGGGGCTCAGAGAGCAGAGGATGTGGCCACCCTCCAGGATAGAGAAGGGTCATAGGTCACATACATAGGCCAGAGGGCTGCCAGCTCAACATGGCAATATGCACGTGTGGGTGTCCAGTCACCAGCGAGCCACATATGGGCACTACCACCTCCTAGCGTTGGCCGCATACAGCAGACAGAAATGTCCCTGTCCCTCCCAGCCCTGCTGAGGTCCTGATCCTTCTCTCTTTCTCCCCTCTGAACATGACCAGAGGATGGCAGGTGCTCGGCTGGCAGCACTACTGCGAACAAGGGACAGACTAAGTTAACCCGGTGGCTCCTGGATGCTGCAGGCCTCTGAACTCTGCTGTGGCTGCACTGAAGGTGTCACTTAGAGATAATCTCATAAAAATTTTGTTTTCTTTTTCCAACATTCTCTGAGGGTGCTGAAGGAGAAAGATAAGCTACTTGAAGACACCCCAAGCTCCAACTCCAATTAGCTTGCCAACATCCTATGGGAGATGAGACACCGCTGGGGAACAGCACCAAGCTATGTCTACAGTGGAGGATGGAGGCCCTCACCACCTGTGGGATGCCAGTGCCTCCCTCCAGCCAGGCTCAGAAAGATGTGGCATGGCCCTCCCACTGGCTGAGTGGAGAAGCTGCTCAGTTTCCAGAATGGATGAGGGACAGAGTGGTGTGGAGGAGGGTGGGAACAATGGCCCTGGCATACCCAAGGCACACCACAGCGGCTCCGACAATCAAAACCTCTCCTGAGCCCTGGCTTTTCATCAAATGGCATAATGACTAAAGAGGATTTAGGAAAATAAGAGCAAAATGGAAAGGAATTAGAAGTAACACACTGACAGAGCAGCATTACAGTTAGAAAGAGAGAGAGAGAATGAATAAGAAAGAATGAGAACGAGAATGGGTGCCCATTCTCTCCAGGGAGATTAGACTGCTAGCTGAAGACACTCAGTTCTTTGAGTATCTGATGAGGCAGAGAGGAAGGTGATGGTTTTGACCTCAGCAGAGCCCAGCCCCTGGCCCCCAGGCCTTCAGGGTCTGTGGAGGGCATAGATTAAACATTCTGGCTACCACACGGGAGCCTCTTACACTGGGTACAGCCCAGGCAGGCAGAAGGGCAGCTTGTGGAAGGCCGCCAGCCCAGGACTATGCTGTCAGCAAAGCTGAGGCCATCACTTCCAGTGAAGTCACTGCCCAAGCCTGCCCCAGGCACACAGCAGGGCCACACAGTGGCCACCATCCCAGGCCCGGTGTGCTCTGCTCAGGTGTCAGGAAAAGCAAGCACAGGCTTCCCCACACCTGTGCAAACCAGAGCCTCGTGCCCTGGAGAGCCCTGCGCAGCAGCTGCCGGCTGGACGGGCCAGGCCACTCACCTGCAATCTCATTCTCCTCCAGGTTGATAGTCTCCAGCATTGGGAGGGTGGTGAGCTGCTCTGGGAAATCTCGGAACTGGTTTCGGGACAGGTCGATGGCCTTGAGGTGCTGTAGGCTGCTGATTTCATTGGGGAGGCGATGTAGGAAGTTCCCTTCGAGGCGGAGCTCTGCCATGTGAGGGAAGAAGAGAGAAGGGTGAGCAGGAGACCCTGCCCAGAGACCACCATGGCTACTGTTAGTGGTTGGACCAGGGGTGGCAGCAAGGAATGCCCAGGCCCCAAAAGAAGTCCCTGAGTAGCCAAGTCCCTATTAATTGACCCTAGAGGAAGGGTAATATTCCCACCACTGCCCAGGCAAGGCCTGTCACCCATCGTTCCTACAGAGGTCACCTGCTTTTGGCTTTAGACTAGAAGGCTCCCCACAGAGGCCTGGGCCTAGACAAAGAGTCAGTGTGTGCTGGCTCCCCTCAGACCAGGATGGGCAACCCCACCTACAAGACAGGACTCCCCTGGCCCTACCTTCTCCCAAAACCCCCTAGGCCACCCAAACTCTTTCTGGGCCACTGTCTTTGCTCCTTTCACAGCCACCACCACCTAGACTTGGGTAAGTTCCTGCCCGAATCACTCTTCCCCAAACCAACAGTGACCTAAGTGGGGACCTGATGTTAATGGCTGGCCCAGTGGCAGTCCCTTTGTTGGGGACACAGCCGAGGCAGTGCAGAGACAGGTCCAGGTGGAGCCTAAGGCTGAAATGCAGAGGGGGAGGAATCAGGGAACAATGCAGAGCCATGATGGGACCAGCAGCCCCTGCTGCCTGAACACCAACTCCAACCATGTCACCTATGACCATTCACTCAGAAAGTTATTGAACCCAGTTGGGCTTGGTTTCTTCACCTAAGTAAGGAGCTAATAGTAATCCCTGCCTCCCAGAGTTTTGAGGGTTAAATCTTTAACATGGGGAAAGCAGGAGAGAAAGACAACAGTTGGGGCTATTCTGCTTCAGGGCCGGCTCCCTGTCTACACTTGACTTTATAGCTAGCCCCTTCCCTATGCCATGGACCTCCCCATCCTGCCTGATCAAAATGAAATCGAGGCCCACAAACGCGAAGTGACCTAAGTGACACCCTCAGCTCTACTCTCCAAGGCCAGCTTTGTGCCCAGGAGGCCAATGGATACACACAGGGGCCACTGATGAGAAGAGGATACCCTTGGGGTGGGTACCTTAATAATTTTTTGGCGTGAATCTATGTTTTGTACACAGTGCTGGGGTCATCTGCGCTCACACATGGGGTGACCTCCCTTACTCCCTGGGATGGGCTGTTGCCAGCCTATTCTGCTCTCTGAGGTCCTAGGAGTTGCTTGGCTTCTCCCTTCATGCCTGCTCTGTGATTCCTGTAGTGGGGAGGGTCCAAGGCAGGCATGTGTGGCCTGCATTGTCTCAGGGCACAGCATAGTGGCATTTGCACCTCACCTACTTCCTACTGGGGTCTCTGGGCTGACAACACCATGGCGTGCCTGGTTGGCAATTAGCTACAGGCTGAGTCTTGGCAGGAATGAGCCTCTAGCCCACCTCTGACCCAGGTAGAAGGTCCCAGTGCCCAGGTTAGAGTTCCTTGGAGACGCCTATGTGCTGCAGGTTGGGGTGGTACTTCTAAGGAAGGAAATACATCTAGCCCAGCACACCCAGCAGGGCAAAGCATAGCTGTCCAGCACCTGGAAAGAGGAGAAACTTGGCCGTAGCAGCCCTGGACAGGTACACCACATGCCCTCCACTGAGGACAGTGCCTGGGCACCTGGGAGTCCACAAGGCTTCTCTTCCTCCTTTGCAGCCTCCTGAGCCTGGCTTAAATCTGCCCTCCAGCCCACTCACAATTTCTGAAAACGAGTCATAAAACATGAGCTGTCTCATTTCACAATTCGCATGCCAGTTAAATGCTCTCAGAATTGCCTTTAATAAAACTAGCTCTGTACAACATAAAGACGGATGGTAAAATCCACAATACATTTTTACTTCCTCTTACTTTGAATGACATCAAATAGCAAATGAAAAGTGCTGTAACACATTGAGACAGCAGAAAAAAGAAGACAGCTTTCTATGTACTTGTAAGGCATTTTCCCCAAACAAGAGCCCTGAATCCTCATTTGGCTGCGCCCCATCATGCAGGCAGCTCTGCCCCCACTCTGTGCTCCATGCGGCTCCATGAGGCACAGCTCTGTGACGCAGCCCTGGGTTAATGAGGCCCCTCAGGGTTCCCCACAGTAAGAGCAAGATCCTAGCCCCATCAGGGCCTCTGTCTGCAGGTGCCCTGTCCTCATATGCTGGGCTCTGGGCAGGCAGGAACTGCATGATTGTCCCAATATCAGCCTCCTGGAGGGCACTTCACTGTCACCCGGCAAATGCTGGATGAGTCATAACTCTTCTCCCCTCAGGAGGCAAACGGATCATGCAGGGGGCCCGGGCTACCTCTCGCCTTTCCATCTCTGGGGACATTCTGAACCCAAGGTTCCACTAAAAGATCCGCTGCCTACTCCCTGCAAACCCAGGAGCCCACTGGCAGCCAGCTTCTTTGACAGCCACACCTTCATCACACACCCCTAGCTGGATCTCGGCTGTAAGGGTCACAGTGCGGCAGGTAACACTAGATAACATCTAGTCTAGTGTTCTTTTTTTTTTGTTGTTGTTGTTGTTGTTTTTTTTGTTTTTTTTTTTTTTTTTTTTTTTTTTTGCGGAACCAGGGATTGAACTCAGACCCTTGCGCTTGCCAGGCAAGCACTTATTCTACTGAGCCATCTCCCCGGCCCCTAGTGTTTGCTTTTGTAAAACAGCATTTCCTCAAACACCCTGAGCATGTGTGCCTTGTGGCCTTTGCACCTGCAGCTCCCCGCTCCTAAACGCTCTGACCCACAGAAGTGCAAGGCTCACTGCCTCATTTCATTTGTGTCTTTACTTACGTGTCTTCCAGTCTAAAATAGGATCCCCTCTGCCTACAGTGCCCACCCCGGTAGCATCCTCGATCTCCTAAGAGGCTGAGGGGTTTGTATTCTACCTCCCGCCCTGAGAAAGGAAGGTGCCTGAATCAGGGGCTCATAGCACTGCCAGGACGCAGTGAGCACACAGTAAGTATCTGATAAACGAAGGACATTCTGCACCACCCGCACAATTCTGCAAAATTTCTACTCCACACACCACTGTTCTTCCTTAAATTGATTTGTGCTTTGTTTATATAAAAAGAAAAAACTGTTATTACTCTCTCTGAAAACATGTTCAATTCTCACTGGACACTGTTGCAAGATAAAGAATCTGGGCCCCAGGCAGATGATGTGGTAAACAACTCATGTCAGGCCAGGGCAGCTGCCTCCAGGAGCCCTCCCTCAGCAGCCACTTCCCCGAGGGGGACATGTGCTCTCCTGGATTCTCAAATCCCTTGTTCTCTGGGATCACACCACTGTGCTGTGTGGTCCAGCTGCCCACAGCACCTCCCAGTCCCCAGAGCAGCAAAGTGTATAACAGGCCCAACAGGCTGCAGGGAGATCACGGGGCATGCCTAGAGGGGAGGGCATACTGGCACAGGGGCCTTCAGGGCTGTACACAAGGGGTGACTGACGCCCTCCTCTCAAGCTCCATTTCCCTTTCCCTGTCTGGGAAAATCAGCGGGCCTGCACCCCAACGGGAAGGCTTTGGAACCATCCCCCAGCCCTGCTGCTCCCACTTAGGGCTGCTGTGCCACTGGCAGATCTCAACTACTGGGTTTTACAGATGTGCAGGGCATGAGACCAAAGTCCACGAGGGAGGATCTGACTTGGTGCCAGGCAGAGCCCTGTGGGTCGCACACACAGGCTCTGAAGCCAGATGTCTGGGCTTCACAGTCAAACTGTGCTGCTTTCTGACTGCAATTTCAGGCAAGCTGTTTTTAACCTCTGCCTCAGTTTCTTCACCTATGAGGGCAGCACTAAACTCTCTCTCTGCAGGGTTGTCTGAAGTTTAAATAAATTACAGGTAGCAAGTGAAAAAAGCTTTCAATATGCTGGTCACAAAGTGAACAGCAGTGTGCATGTGGAACAGAAAGACAGATGGATAGACATAGGATATGATACAGGACAGCTGGGCGAACTCCATAATCCGCTTAGTACTATGTCACCTGCTGGACCTGCATTTCTCACTGCCCAAGCTTAAGCTCACAAGAGGAAACCGCTGTCTGTGTGAAGCTATAATGAGCACAAGCCTGTCCTCTCCTGCCTCAGAAGCCCTGCGGGGCCCAAGGCCTCTGGAAGCAGGTGTTGGCAGTGAACTGATAAACAGCCCAGAGCTCCACGGATGCACAGCACGGCAGTCCGCAGGGTCACAGAACCTGCTGTCTGTCTCTCAAACGAAGCGATGAAGCCAGGTCCCTCTGCTCAGCAGGGGAACTGCACCAGGGCAGGGACGAGTCTTCTCCTGATTTTGTTACCTCCAATTTTCTGACATGTTTAGACTTCTTATTCAAAGAAAAAAAAGATGCCCTTTATTAAAACAATTCAGGCCTGAGCCTAACTACAGTCCCAGAGTAGCTGAGAAAAATTAGAAGCATCTATCTGGAAGCCAGACTCTGAGAATCTGTTGGGAGCCACAAGGCCTGCCTTTCAGACATGCAGGCCCGTAGGAATGCACACACCTGTCTAGATGTGCATTCCTCCCACTCCCAGGGGTTCAGCTTCTCTGGAGAACCCTAGGGGTGTTCTGGGGGCCCAGAGACCTCACCCAGTGGCCAACCATGAGCACTTGAAGGCAACATCCCTTCTGGGAGGAGCCTCACTTCCAACACAGGCGCAAGTGCTTGGGGCAGGAATTCCTGATATCAATCAGCACAGAGATGGCAGAGACAGGGTGCTCTCATGAGGGGAGTCAGAGCTAAGAAACCCTGCCTGATGCCTGAAATGAAAAATGAGGGACCCGGGGAGATGGCTCAGTAGAATGAGCGCTTCCCTGGCAAGCACAAGGGCCTGAGTTCAATCCCCGCAAAAAATAAGAAAAGAAAAATGAGGCAATGACCAGTTAAGGAAGATGTGGTCTCCTTCACTTGAGGAAGCATGGTGAGGGTCAAATTTGGAACTGACTTAGAGACAATGACATTTTCAGGTGCCCAGGCCGACTAGACAGGATTTCTTGCCTTGCCTCGAAGGTTGGCAGG